TAGGGAAGTGTGGAGGGCGGTGGGGACAGTGGGGGGAACGTGGGAGGTCAGCATTCCCTGATGGCCCATCCTGATGAGGAGAGAGAAGGCAGAGCCAGGCTTCCAGCCCCACCCGTCCCACAGCTCCTTTGACCCTCTATTTCCTCATCTGTCCCATGGACACACTGAGAACTAGGGAGGTGAGGCAGACAAGATGATGCACCTGGATGGCTCTGCTAAGCAGCACAATGGGAAGCAGCATGATTTAGGGAGGTGCACAGCCCCACATTCTCATACACATCATAATTGTCACCCATAGGCACACCCCGTGTCTCCACTGTTAGCCCTAATGCCACTCGGTCCATAGAGTGCCCTTGTGCAAATTAGACCTGAGCACCCCTTACTTCCATCTGTCAGGATATTGATGGAAAATACTGATCTTGTGAGAACAAGATGGTTTGCTGCCATCAGTGTAATGAACAGTCAGGAGTTTGACGCCTGCGATGTGAATGGTGACACTGAGTTGTGTACGTTACTGTCTGCATGGTATGTGGCAGCTCTGTGACTCATAGACAATCCCACCCAGGCTCACGCAGTGTCACCCACAGGTTTAGTGATCATACATCCCCGGTCATGCAGCGCCACCATGCAGCCCCACGTTTTGCCTGTTAGCCTGGCATAATTATTCAGAGTTCCCACTTTTACTCTCCAAAGCATTGGGATGATACTTGCCCTTTTCCACAGATAACACACTGTCCCCCACACAGGTTCACATGCACTGTCAGCCAGGAGCTCATACATTTCTTCACATTTGATGTTCACCTACACACACATCTATACATGTGGATAAACTGGTACTTGCGCCCCACTTGCATCCTTGTGCCTGTGTACGCATGTACTGCTGTAGACTTGCACTGAGTGAGAAGTGACACACTCGGTCACGGACACCCCGTGAAATGCAGCATAACCTACGTTTACACATGCCCAGAGATGCACCCAGCCACATCCACAGTGACGCTCAAGGTCTCACATGCTTACATGGATGCGTGCCTGCACACCATCAGAGTGGTGTCACACTCATACACCCAGTTGCACGCAGCTTCATGCACATAAGTGACACACCTGAGCTATGCGCACGTGGGCAAGGACAGGCTGCAGTGCCCCTCCACCTGGGTGCGGGTGGTATGGCACACTGTCTCCTTCCCTGACGCCTGGTTCTGGCAGGTGGAGCTCTCCTGGCACAGCTTTAATAAGAGTGACATCTTCCTGCTAGACCTGGGCAAGATGATGATCCAGTGGAATGGGCCCAAAACCAGCACTGCTGAGAAGGCGCGGGTCAGTGTCTGCCCGGGAACTAAGGGGTGCAGTGCTCGGGGAGAGGGGTGGTCCTCCAGGTGCCCATCCTCCAGCTACCCCAAGACGTGGGCTTCGCTCTCACCTAAGAAGCTGAGAAGCACCTACAAACTGAGTCCAGATCCTGAGCTGTTGGTACCCCTGGATGCCAGGATAAGGGGATACCTCCCCTGGCCCCCAGCCTCTGGGAGCTGAGCAGTGACAGGAGGATTCTGGGCTGGACTGTCTGAGAGGTGATGGGGGGCATTCTGGGGATGCTCTGACCGCCAGGTCCTGTCCCGCAGGGCCTGGCCCTGACCCGCAGCCTCCAGGACAGGGAGCGTGGTGGCCGTGCACAGATTGGTGTGGTGGATGATGAGGCTGAAGCCACTGACCTCATGCAGATCATGGAAGCTGTGCTGGGCTTCAGAGTGGGCAACCTGCACACCGCCATGCCCAGCAAGAATACTGACCAACTGCAAAAGGCCATTGTCCGCCTCTACCAGTGAGCAGAGCTTGGGAGTGGGCAGGGTGGGTGGAATAGCCCAGGCGTGCATGTCCGGCATTACTGCAATAACACGGTGTCTCTAGGAAGCCCTCTAGAAAAGGTTCATGGGTTTCTGGGGCAGGCCATGTGGAACCTTAGGCCCAGCCTGTGCTCTTGCATGGCTGCCTTTCTGAGAACGCACTGTACAGACAGGGCGACTGAGGCCCTGAGAGGGCCAGGGAGCTGCCTAAGTCTTCACAGCAAGGCTGCAGCGAAGACCTCAACCTGGGCCCCCAGCCCCCAAGCCTTCTGCCTCTGGAGGTGCGAGGGGCTGTGGTAGCTGGAGTGGAGCCAGGCCCGGGAGGAGCTGAGCTGCCCAAATCTGGATGCCTGTCCCCTAGTGTCTACGAGAAGGGCAAGGATGTGGTGATCCAGGAGTTGTCGACCTGCCCTCTGGCCCAAGACCTACTGCAGGAGGAGGTGAGGCAAGCCTGGCCCCAGCCAACCCGTCCATCTCCCCACCCACTCCACAAGCCCGACCCAGTCTGGACCACCTACTGACCAGCCCCACTTTGGCTCCCAGGGCTGCTACATCCTGGACCAGGGTGGTTTCAAGATCTACGTGTGGCAGGGACGCACGACTAGCCTCCAGAAGAAGGCCGCCTTCAGCAGGGCTCTGGTGAGGCTTTGGGGCCCTGGCTTAGAGGGACATAGAGCCGCCCTGGTTCCTGGGTAGGGAGGAAACCGCCTTATCCTGCAAACCTAAGCTGGGAGAGATCCATGTCCTGGGGTCTAAAGAGAGAGGTAATCCTGCCCTGGGGCCAGGAGGGGGATACGTCCTGCCCTGGGAGCCCTGTTGGATGGAGGAGGACATAACCCTGCCCTGGGGTCTAAGCCTGAAGACCCACCGCCCTGTCTGAGGGCGGAGACACAGCTGTGCCCAACGGTCCGAGGGGGAACACAGGGCCCCTCTGGGGTACCGCGGGCTGTGGCCTGCCTTGGGGGCCCTGACGGGGGAGGACCAGATAGCTTCCAAGAAACCATGTGTAAAAGGGGGATGTGAGGGACCCGCCTTGAGGTCTGAGGATTCTCCAAGCACTGGGTGCTCCCTCCTTTTCCAGGAGGGGAGGCAGGGCTCTGCCTCTGGGGTCTGACGGGTGGTCATAGCTGGCCCTTCCCGAGGCCCGGACTAACGGGACCCTGCCTGTCCTCAGGGACTTCGGAGAAGTCGGTAGTGCCGGAGCCAGCTCCTTAAGCCAGTCATGAGCTCAGTTAATTGACGCTGCTCAGTGCACTGGCTGGCCCCGAAGCGTGAGCCAGCAGGTCCTGCGGGTGGAGCGGAGCAGTGGGCCCTTGGGCCACACGCTTGACAGAGCCCCCTCGCCCAGGGCTTCATCCAGGCCAAGGGCTACCCGAGCTACACCAATGTGGAGGTGGTGGACGAAGGCGCCGAGTCAGCCGCGTTCAAGCAGCTGTTCCGATCGTGGTCTGGGGAGCAGCGCAAGAACAAGCACCTCCGCGGAATGGGTGAGGGGGCGTGGCCGGACGGCGGAGCGCCGAGCCGAGGCTTCCTGAGCGATGGGCGGGGCGGGGATGGAGGGGCGGGGCCTGAGCGGGGCCCAGAATCTCCACGGGAAGGGTGAGGGGGCGTGGCCGGAGGGAGCTTCTTGCGTGATTGGCTGGGCGAGGCGAAGTCTGGGACAGGGCAGACATCGCCAGTGACACCCCCTGTCCCACCCTCAGGTAAATTACTTCAGGTGAAACTGGACGTGGGCAAGCTGCACAGCTATCCTGAGCTGGCGGCCCAGCTCAGGATGGTGGACGACGGCTCTGGGAAGGTGGAGGTGAGGGGCACTGACTTGGCTGGGGGAAGATGGGCGCATAGGTTTAGGCTTTGTCTTCAGGTGAACCTTATGGCTGCTAAAGTGACCCAGGTACGCCCAGGTGCACATTTACACACAGTCAGGGACACACGGGGCATGTGTACGTATACACGCACCCTCCACCCTGCCAGCTCATATGCATCACGCATACAGTCCCATGCAGCCACGGCCACTTGCTCGGTAACACTCATGGCACCCAGAACAGTAACATTCGGACAATTAATTGTGCCCTTTTGTCATATGTATGACACATACATATTATAATATAGACACACATACTCATACCTCGTGATTGCACTTATTCAAACAATTGAAAACATGTAAGCATACAAACTCTACATCACACACGATCACAGCCCCCCACGCCCAACACAAAGTCACACCCTGTCAGCCACCCGTCTGGTCTCAGACCAATGTTCTGGGAGATGCAGGGGTTGGGGGCTCCTTCCAGGCTCTGTACAGGGCAGGGTTGTATCTTGACTAATTGGGTCACCCCCAGGCAGGGCCCTTAATTCCTTCAGGGCCCAGTTTTTTATATGTAAAATGGGGCTAAAGCTGTGGTCCCACCTGGCCCCGAGGCTGGTGTGCGGGTGCTGAGAGCGTATGGGAACAGGACAGCTGGGCCTGTGTGAGGCGCACTAGTTCTCAAGGTAGGCCGAGGTCAGAGAAAATACTGTTTCTCCAAGGTGCCCTCTGACATTTGCCCTACTATGGATGGACAGTGGCAGTGAGTGGGGAGAGACTGAGATAGGAGAAGACGGGGCGGAGGGGGAGGAGGGAGAGAGGATGACAGGTTGAGGGGACAGGGAGAGACAAAGAAGAGGAGACTGAGAATGAGAGAGAGAGCGTGGAGGAGACCGAATAGAGCGAGGAGGGGATGGGATGCAGAGCAGGGAGTGGTGAGGGCACAGGGAGAGGAGAAAGGGGGTCCGGGAGAGATGGGATACCCAGGGAGAGACAGAGGGGCAGCCAGCGAGAGAGAGAAAAGGAGAAACAGGAAAGCGGAGAGAAGGGCAAGGGAGGAAGGAAGGAGGGGTCTGCAGCCCAGGCCCCAAGCACAAAGCCAGGGAGGGGACGTCCCCCGCCCCTCCCCACAGCAGGCTCGGGGACAGGCAGCCAGAGGGGGTCCCTAGCCAGGAGGCCTGGCTGCCAGGTGAGTGCTGCTCCTGGAGGCGAGTGGTTGCAGTCAGCCTCTTCTGCAGAAGCAGGATTCCTGGTGCTCTGGTCTTTTCCAGAGACTGCTGTCAGGCTCTGTGTGGCCACGGGATGCCCAGATGTTGTTTCTTGCCATGTCGAGGTGAGCGCTGTTACCCCCACTTCACAGGTGGGAAAAACTGAAGCTCAGAAAGGTCTCGCTCCCGGTGTGGGTGACCGGGATTCAACCAGGGTTTGCCTGGCTCCAGGGCCCATGCTCGGCTACCCACAGGAGCAGGACATCACATTAAGTGTGACTCAGTGTTTTCCTTTCAGTCTTTGAATAGGGTTTGCTTTTTTAAGTGACACTTGAAAAAAAGGAAATTTTCCCAAGAGCCCCAAGGCCTTGCTTCTGCCCAGCTTCTGCTGCCCTGGCCTGAGCACAGCGCAGCTGTGCAGGGCTGTGGCTGGTGAGGTCAGGCTGGGGTGGCATGTGGCAGCCTAGGCAGCCTCTGGAGTCCTCACCGCTTGTTTGTGCCAGGCACCACACACCAACTCAGAGTCCTGGCTGAGAACAGGCTGGCACAAGTGTGGGTCCCAGGGGTCCCTGGGGGAAGCACAGAGTGTAGGGTGGGCACAGAGCTCGGGGGGAGCCCCTTGTCTGCACAGATGAGGCATGCCCCCAGCTGCAGAGAGCTTCCTGGCTGGACACACGGTGGGTGGGCTAGTTCAGGTGGAGGCACCACCCCTGCCTGTTGGCCCCCTGTTCCCCAGGTGTGGTACATCCAGGACTCACGCAGGCAGCCCGTGGACCCCATGCATCACGGACAGTTGTGCGCAGGCAACTGCTACCTTGTCCTCTACACATACCAGAAGATGGGCCTCGTCCAGTACATCCTGTACCTGTGGCAGGTGCGCCGGCCTGAGCAGGGTGGCAGGCACCCTCAAGCCCCAGAGCTCAGGAGCTGAGGGTGGGGTCTGGGAGCCGTGCCAGGCCCTCACCACCCCTGCCCGCAGGGCCTCCAGGCCACCGCACACGAGATCAAGGCCCTGAAGGGCAACGCCGAGGAGCTGGACCTCCAGTACCACGGAGCGCTGGTATAGGAGCACGTGACCATGGGCAGCGAGCCCCCTCACTTCCTCGCCATCTTCCAGGGCCAGCTGGTGATCTTACAGGTAGGGCCCGCCTTGCTGCTGTGGCCGCAGCCTCTCCACCCCTCCGTGCACCCATGGCCCTTACACGCATGTGCTAAGCACCTTCTCTGCAGGTCAGGGGCCCAGCGGTAGCCCCTTCGCTTCCTGGTGCTTGTCCAAGGCCCAGGAGCTCCAAGGGTGACCCCTGCCTGAGTTTCTTCCCCCATCCCCAGAGGCAGCCACAGAACAGGCGCACAAGTGCAGAAGCGGAACGGAAAGGGAGCCGGGGCCTTACCTGGGGTCACCCACAGGCAAAGCTGCTCCCCACTTTCCGTCTTCAAGGCCTGCGGGATCCATGCTCTGACCCCTCGGAGTTGGGGTGAGGGGTCTGTTTAGAAAGGGCCTGGTTCCCTATTCTAGACCGATGGCATCCTCACACTCCACACTCAGAGGGTAGAAAACAGAGGTGGCTTCAAGAGAGGGGGCCCTGGGTGCCGAGGCAGTTTGGCCCCCACTGGGAGAGGGAGGCGGCCCCAAGAGCCCTTGCCGCAGCCTGAGGCCCAGCCCTCTCGTAGGGGAGCGCTGGGCACAATGGGAAGGGGCAGCCAGAGTCCGCCGCAAGGCTCTTCCACGTACGAGGCACCGACAGCTACAGCACCTGGACCCTGGAGGTGCCAGCCCGTGCCTCAGCCCTCAACTCCAACGATATCTTCCTGCTGGCCACAGCCGGCCTCTGCTACCTCTGGTTTGGGAAGGTACCCCAGCAATGACCACTTGACTTACGCCTGGGGCAGCGGTGCCAGGCCAGGGAAGGGTCCACTCCGCAGCGGAGGCTGACTTCAAGTCCAGCCTCAGGCCGGAGGGAGGTGGGGGAGAGGCCACAGTGTCTCTTCTGGGACCTGGGGGAAGTTATGGGTGGACCTGGGCATCCACGGGTCAGAGCCAGGCCAGGCCCAGGCTGCCTGCCCTCCTTCCTGCCTCGTGCCGGGACCACGTCCCTTCCCAAGTCTCTTGGGAAAAGGAGGCCTAGTTCAGAGTGCCAGGGTTTTCTCTGATCTTCACCATAAACCATGAATGATCTCTAAGCCTGGAGGTCCCCCATCCTGTGCTCTGGACCTGGAGTGGGTCCCGGTCCCTGTGACCTTGATCAGCTGAGGAGACAGAGGGAGGAGGGGGAGGAAGGGAGACACTTTGTCATGTGTGCCCCGCCACGAGCCCAGGGCTCCTGTGACTCAGGCGTGGCTCCGGCTCCGCACAGGCTCCTGTTAGCAGGGGATGTGGCGCAGGAGGTGAAGCCCCCTCCCTGTGCAGGGCGTGACCCAGCTCTTTGCCTGCTAGGGCTGCAGCGGTGACCAGCGTGAGATGGCACGGACAGTGGTCACCGTCATCTCCAGGAAGGACAAGGAAATGGTGCTGGAGGGTCAGGAGCCTCCCCACTTCTGGGAGGCCCTGGGGGGCCGGGCACCCTACCCCAGCAGCAAGAGGTGACAAGGCTGGGAGGAGGGTGCTCTCCTGACCCAGAGGAGGGAACTGAGGCCCAAGAGGGTGGGTGACTGATTAAGGGTCACACAGGGAGGTGGAGAGGCCAGACTGGAGCTGAGAACTTGTGGCTCCCCAGCCCAGGGGCTCCTAGGAGCACAGCCCACCCTTCCCTCCTCCCTAACTTGGAGCACGAAGGTGCCGGGGACAGCAGGGTGGTCGCGCCCTCTGCTGGCCGAATGTGCTCCCTGCACGGTCCCCGTACTGGACCGTCTTATCGGCAGAGGGCCAGAGGGCAAAGTGCATTCCCCCACCCCACAATCCCCACGGGTGGTGTCCCCGGTGTAATATGACATATGGGTAAACAGCGTGTGTGGAGTGTGCAAGAATAGTGTGTGTGGGGTGTGTAAATGGATAAGGGTGTGTATGGGAAGGAAGGGCAGAGTGAGGCTTCAAAGGGAACTGGGAGCGGGGAACCTGCCGCTCTTTATGTCTGTGCGGCCCAGCTATGCGCTGTGCTCCCCCCAAGTCTCCTGAGCTCCTAAGTGCTGCTGTCGCCCTCTCTCGGCCTGGCTTCCGTCCTCCCACCTTGGGCCTGAGGCCGGGGGGCCAGCGGCTCCTCCCTCCCAGGGCGGCAGGGCTCCAGCTCGGCCCTCCCTCCGCACTCAGCCAGCCACCCCCTCCTTCCCCGTGCTCCTTCCCCGAGAAATTCATGGGGCAGTTTGCACCCCGGCTGCCTGTGGGAAGACAGACTACCTAACCTGCTTTCCCCACTGACACGAGGACACGGAGGCCCAGAGAAGGGCAGGTGTTTGGGAGTGGATCCTGGGATGGGTGGAACTTAGAGGGGAGCGGCTGCCTCCTGCTCCAGGAGGCATTGTGTCCCAGCCCCTGGGGGGCGGTAGAGGGGTGCTGTGCTGGGGGCTGGCTTGGCCCAGGCTGGTCAGAAGCCCAGCTCTCTCTGCGCCCCTCATGGCCTTGTGCCATGCTGGCCAGGCTCCCCGAGGATGTGTCCGACTTCCAGCCACGACTGTTTGAGTGCTCCATCCAGACGGGCCCCCTGGTCCTCACGGAAGTGGTGTTCTTTAGCCAAGAGGACCTGGACAAGTATGACCTCATGTTACTGGACACCTGGGAGGAGGTACGGCAGCCTGGGTGCCTGGCTGGGTTGTGAATGGGGGGGTGTCTGCACCTGCGTAACTGGGTGTGAGTGTGTGTGACTTTGTGTTTCTAGCCATGTGACTGCATATAAGGCTGCGGGTGAGTGTGTGACAATCTACGACACTGTAACACTGTAACAATCTACGGCAATTGTGTGACTGTGGATAAGACGCCAGGGACGACTCCGTGACCCAGGGAGCCTGGGGGAGACTGTGGCTGTGTGTCTGGGACTCATGTGTGGTCGTGACCAGTTGTGTAGTTGGGTGTAACTCTGTGTGCCTTATAAGGGCGTGTGTGAGTCCATGCAACTGAGTGCCCATGGCTGACATGTCAGTGCTGAGTGGGTGGCCATAAAGTGACCGTGTGTGTGTGCATGCGCGTGTGCACACATGTGCGTGATGCCTCTGTGTGACTGCATTTGATCTCTAGATAACTAGTTATCTCTAGTTTATTTATTTCCTCTCTGGTCTTTATTATTTCCTTCCTTCTGCTGACATTAGGTTTTGTTTGTTCTTTTTCTAATCCTTTTAGATGGTAGGTTAGGTTGCTTATTTTGAGATTTTTCTTGTTTTTCTGAGGAAGGCCTGTATCGCTACGAACTTCCCTCTTAGGACTGCTTTGGCTGCATCCCATAGATTTTGTCTGGTTGTGTTTTCATTGTCATTTGTCTGTCTGTGTGCCTGAATTTGCCTGTGTGTGTGCAGCTGTGTGTAATGGCTGTGTGGTCAAGGAACTGGCTATAAGTGACCAGACCATCTATAACTGGTGACACTGTGAGAGAGAGACAATGTAACTGGCTGCAGGTGTGAGTGCCTGAGTGACTGAATTCATATGACTGTGTAATCATGTTTCTGTGTGGCTGGATGTGATGGTGTTTCAGGCTACTTGTGTTTTCAGGCTGCGTGATCCATTGTAACTGTGCTTAGGTGCAACTATGCATGAGTACGGGTGACAGTGTATGGCTGTGATTTGCCATCTGGCTGAGTGGTGGTGGACAGTTGTGTCTGTGTATCTGTGGTCGTGTATGTGTACGTGTGTGTGTATCTGCATCACTGTGCCTGGGACTCTGTGTGACTGTGGCAAGGAGGCCTTTGGGCTCACATCCCACTCAGAGCGCAGCCAAAGCCCCTCCCCCAGCCCTGTGACAGGTGGCCCCGACTCTCCCCCTCGCTCACTCTGCTCCAGCCACCATGGCTTCCTGGCCGCTCTCTGAACATGCCAGCGTGCTCAGGGCCTTTGTACTGGTTGTTTCCTCTGCTCAGAACACTTTCCCCCCAGACATACATGTGACTTGCTCCCCCACCTCCCTCAGAGCTTGACTCCAGTGTCATCTTCTCAGTAAGGCTCTCCCTGACTCTAATTTAAAATGACAGTATCCACCCCACCACCACCCCACTTCTCTTCTTTCCCTGCTTTATTTTTCTCCATCTGATATACTACATATTTTACTTATTTTTGTGTCTACCCCAGCAAAATGAAAGCTCTACAAGAGCAGGGATTTTGTCTCTTTCTTTCTCATGGTTGAGTCCCCGGTGCCTAGAACATTGCCTGGCACACAGTTGGTGCTCAGTAAATATGTGTGGATTGATTGCACACGTGCATGCCCGAGACCTCCTGGCACATTTACGGGTGTGTGTGGGTGCAGCCAGCCTGCTGGGTGGGTCTGGTTGGCTGGGATGTGTGCATCGGGTTCTGAGACCACCTGATGGGCAGGGCTGGGAGGGAAGTGGTCAGCTCCACCCGCCCAAGGCCAGGCCCCCTCTGTGGCCCAGATCTTCCTGTGGCTGGGGGCAGCTGCGAGCGAGTGGAAGCAGGAGGCTGTGGCCTGGGGCCGGGAGTACCTGAAGACCCACCCAGCAGGGAGGAGCCTGGCCACGCCTATCGTGCTGGTCAAGCAGGGCCACGAGCCTCCCACCTTCACTGGATGGTTCCACACCTGGGACCCCTACAAATGGACCGTGAGTGAGGCCTGAACCCCCCATCCCCACCCTAATCCTGGGAGAGGGGCCTGCCCTGGCAGACGGTGGGGGAGCCATTTCCCTGCCCAGGGACCTCCAGTGTGTGGGGAGAATCTGGTCCCATTGGTGCCCCTCCATCTGGCCCCCACCCTGATGCTTGCCCCCAGAATAATCAGTCTTATGAGGAGGTGGTGGAGGGCGGCCTGGGAGCAGTATCTGCCATCTCAGAGATAACAGCAGTGAGTATTGGGGCCTCCCAGGGGTCTGGGCTCGGCTGGCCCAGGGGGCAGGATGAGCAGGGAAGGAGCCAGGCGCCGGTAGAGGGCAGGGGTGGCAGTTGGGGGCAGGAGGGCGGGTGGGCTCAGTGTGGCCTCCCATGGGAGCCCATCCCCCAGCTTCCCCAGCCTGAGTCCCCTCTCCTGACAGCAGGTCAGCAACTTCCGGCTGTCCAGATGGCCAAGCAATGGCAGGGCAGGCCCGTTGGCCCTGTGGGCCCTCAAGGGCTCCAAGGACAGCTCCGAGAACCAGCTGGAGCTGGGCCCCAAGGCGGGCAGCGGCCCCAGATCCATGGCCAGCGGGAGCCTGCCCCGAGAATGGCTGAGGCACCAGGCTGTTGAGGACCTGCCGGAGGGTGTGGACTCGGCCCACAAGGAGGTGGATGCCTGAGACCCCTGCCCCGCCACTCACCGCCCCAGCACTAATGCATATAAAGCTGAGCTGCCGGCGCCCAGGGCGTGACCCACTGATGGTGGGCAATGGGCAGGCTGCCCGGGGAGATGTGTGTTCCAGATAGGGTGATGGGCAGAGAGATGTGGGAGAGGATGACACCTCTGGCTGAGTGGGACAGGGTTCTGGGCTCAGCTGATACCCTTCCTCTGCACCCACTCCCTCCTCTCCCCCACCCCAGTCCTATCTCTCAGACTCTGATTTCCAAGATATCTCTGGGAGGTCCAAGGAGGAGTTCTACAGCATGGCCAAGTGGAGGCAGCAGCAGGAGAAGCAGCAGCTCGGCTTCTTCTGAACCCCGGCCCTGCCGGCTCCATCTACGTGGCCAAGACGCCCTGCCTGCGGGCACCTCCCCTACACATATGCGAGCCCCCCAGGGAGGCCCTCCTGGTGCACCCTGGTTGGAGACTCCTGGGTCACTAAAATAAAAGCCTGTGGCCTTCACAAGATGTGGTGAGTGGGCTTTCAGGTCTGGGTCACTCAGCAGGTCTGCCTCTGGGAGAGTGGGCCTCTGGGGTTGGAGGGGTCGGCCATGACATTCCAAAGACTGAGCCCTCCGTACCCTCCGCCATTCAGGGGTTTGTTTCTTGCTGGTCCCTCCTGCCCAGGGGACAGATGTCCCCCCTTGCTCCAGTGTGAGGGTGGAGAAGTGGAGAGTGAGGTGCTGGGGCTCCAGTGCTCTGGGGCATGCACACACGCACGCATGCTTTACAGGGATTTTTCCGGTGTCCAGGTAAAGAGACCACAGTACTTAGTCTTATGATTTTTATAAAAACCCTCAATCTAGGGCCCGGCTGGAGGATGGAGAGGGCTGCAGTGTCATTCCTAACGGAATTGAGGACAGCTCCAGGGACTGGGCCAGCTCCTGGGCTCCCGAGAGGCAGCAACACAGACAGTAGGTTGGAGCTGAAGGCAGTGCGGGGCTGCCAGCTCTGAGCGAGAGGTTGGGAGCAGCCCCTGTCCTGCCCCCAGATGTGGACAGAGGGCCTGGTCCGCTCGGGGCAGCCCTCACCAGACTCCCCGAGCCTAGTCCTGGAGGCCCACCTTCACAAAGAGGGTGGCAGACGGGTGCTGGTCTCCGTTCTTGGACAGGAGGTGGATATGGCGGTATCCTGGCAGGCGGATGGGCGGGGAGGGGCGCACAGGGGGAGTTCTGGTCACTTAGGGAGGATGCTTTGAGGAATAGCTGGCCCCTTCCCAAGAGATGCCTCCCCTTGAGTCGTCCCCTCCCTCCACAAACACTCACCCTGCTTGAGGCTGTTCAAGGGGATGGTGCTCTGGCCAATGAAGTCATTCTTGGAGGAGGCATCGTAGTCCTCCACCACAAAGCGCACGAGGGCGAGCTCAGGCACAATCACCTCGAACTCAAACTCTGTGTCCCACCATGGGTTGAAACCTAGGGGTGCAGGCACCATGTCAACAGCATGGACACCAGCTCCAGAAGCCGGGCCCAGCCCAGGCCCAGCATGTACCATTATTGGTGACCACAGCGGTCTGGTGGCTGGCCACGTCCTGGCCCACGCCATGGATCTCCACTGTCACCTTGGGGTCCACAATTGAATTCTTATTCTTGTTGACTTTTGGCAGCTGCTGCCCTGAGATGACCTGAGGAAAGGCGGGGGACAGTTAAGGGTTCAGGATGGTAGCCAGGGGGAAGGGAGGCCCATGGCACCCGTCCCTCCGGTGGCTGGCCATACCCTGACATTGAGCCGCTTCCGAGCCCACCAGGGCCCCTGAGCCAGGGCACGGGAGTTGAAGGTGGAGTTGGGGTCTCGCAGGAAGGCAGGCTTCAGCACGTACCCACAGGCCCCATTGTCCTGGAATCGGCCCTGGTATACGTCCATCTCTGGCCCAGGTGTCTGGAAGTTCAGGGCCACTACAGGCAGGACGGAGCAGTCACAGGCTGTGGGCTGGCCTCAGGGGCCCCAGAGCCCAGCCTGCTTGGGGTACACTGAGGCCCAGAGTCACACGGTGAGGCAGAAGCAGGGTCCAGGATCACTCCAATGCCTACTGCCCTCCTGCCGCCCTAACTGACCCACCACACCAACCTTGCATTCCATTTCTGGTTCCAGAATTCAAAGGACAAGTGTGCTAACAATGGGATTTCAGACGCTGTATTTGCTGGTGGGGGATATTTCCAGACTGAGATTACCAGCTCCTGAGCCCACAGATCCCTGCATCTGGCTCTGCCTGGGTCCCCAGAGGCTCCTGGCCCCTGGCCCTCCAGGCGGAAACCCTTACCCAGGCCTCCTCCAAGCCCCAGCCAGCCCGTACCGATCTGGCAGCCCCCATTCCACATCTCCACAGGGCTGTAGTTGGAGGAATCCGTTCTCCACCCGGCGGGGTAGATCCTGCTCAGGTGACTCACATTGTGGCGGACAAAGCTGTTTCCTGAGGGGGGTGTGGGCTCATCAGAAGCGGAGGCCTCCTGGTGAGTCCAAGCCCCTCCCTACCAGCTCTGTCTGGTAACAGCGTGGGGTGCCAGCTCTGGGTGACATCTGGAGGGGTGGGAGCCAGTCCTGACCCTGGCCAGCTCAGGTGGTCAGACAGATGGACAGCACCCTGGGGGAACAGGGCCGGGCTCACCTGATTCTTGAAGCAGTCGGAGGGCGCGGTTCTCGGAGAAGGATGCCAGCTCATAGAAAGCCTGCCCACGGGTGCCAGGACTGGGGAAGCCCAGAAAGTGGACGCTCTTGCAGTAAATGACCATATCTGAGAGCTCCTTTGCTAGTCTGAGCTTGTCCTCCTGGGGGCCATGGGGAGGCCCAAGTTAGATTCAGAGGTTGGGGCAGGTGGGCACTGAGAGAGCCAGAAACCCAGATACAGAGAGAAGAGAGGGAGACAGAGAGAGGGGGCAGAGGGTCTGAGTGACAGCCACAGAGAACCCGGACAAGGCAAACACCCCACAGTGTGATGGAGGGGGATGGTGGGGGAGGGCCCCCTCCCCTCCCCGGGCCCCCTCCCCTCCCCTCCTTGCGCCATAGCCCCCCCTCAAACCGTGGACTTGTGCTGCACTTGGTTCCTCACTGCCTCATCCTCCATCTCAGCAGCCTCATCCTCATCTGACACCACAGTGGCCTCAGGGCTGCCTTCCCCTCCAGGGAGGAAAAGCCCCCCAAGCTTCTTCCCCTTCAGCAATATCTTCCCCTTCAGTTGCTAAGGGGGGAGTGGCAGCTGGTCAAGACGCAGCTGGCCTCCCGGCCAGTCCCCTGCCCTCTCCTCTGGGCACCCCACCCCATCGGGCACCTCAGGGGAAGGCAGGCTGCTGGTGACCCTGTCCAGTGGCCGATCCAACAGCATGGGGCCCAGGAGGGTGTGCAGGTGTTGCGCCATCACACGCTGCTGCTCCACGCTGCAGTGGTTCTCCAGGGACAGGATGACGGGGTAGGGGGACACCTGGAGGCCCAAGGGCGGATTAGGAGGGGTGGGTGGGCCCGAGCATCCCCTCCCTCAGGCCCAGAAGCGCGCCCACCTTGAAGGCGTAGTCCCGGATGGCCCTGAGCACGTCGCAGAAGAGGATCTTGGAGGTGAAGGTGTAGCCGTGATAGATGACCGGTTCCTGGTTGGGTCCATCCCAGCAGTCGAGCTCCAGGCAGCGGCAGCCTTTGCACAGCGCCCTGCGAGTGGGACGGCGGCTAGGCTCCTCGGTCCCGGCCGGGCCCCGCCCAGGTCCCGCCTGCCCGACCAGGTCCCGCCCGGCCCCGCCCCATCACGACCAGGTCCCGCCCGGCCCCGCCCCATCA